TTTTATTGATGCTTACCTGTGTGTGAAGAGTTAGTTTTCTCTTGATGCTTTTAATTTCTTTGTCTTTGTCCTTTAATAGTTTGATTGTGTTATGTCTAGATACCTATCTCTTTATATTTGTCCTATATGGGGTCCTTTGAACTTCTTTGATGAGTAGATTAATGCTTGAGAGCATATTCAAAATGGCCGAGTGCAATTATCAAATCATATCTAATTTGATATATTTTTGTTCCTTATTCACGTATTTTTTCTACTCGTTTATCTGTTCCCTCTCCCTCCGGGATACTATTAACAGGTTTTTTGATATGGTTATGATTGTCCCAAATGTCTCTGCGTCTTTGCTCATTTTAAAAAATATTTTTTCTCTGTTTTTTTTTTTTTTTTTTTTTTTTTTAGATTGGGTAATTTACATTAACTCTCTTTAATTCACCAATTCTTTCTACAGGTCATTTTGAATATGCTCTCAAGTCCCTCGTGAATTATCTTTTCATATATATTGGACTTTTTAACTTCAAAATTTCCATTTTGTTCAAAAATTTCTGTCTCCTTACTGAGAATCTTTATTCTTTATTCATTGTCTTACTTTTTAAAATATGGTTATCTTTGGTTCTTTAAACAGATTTAAAATAGCTGCTTTGAAGTCTGTTTAAATTGAACTTCTAAGGACACTCAAAATGTTGCTATTGACTACTTCTCCTCCCTCCCCCTTTTCTTTGCATGCCTCATAATTTCTTGAAAACTGGACATTTTTAGATCATATATTGACACAACTTTGGATTCTGGTTTTGTAATCATTGAATGTTGTTGTTGCTTTGTTTGCTGGTTTCTTTGTTTGGTAATTTGCCCAAACTAAATCAGTGGCATCAATCTCCCCTGTGATGTATGGCCACTGATGTATCTGGGTTTTCTTTTTTTTAAGATTTTCGTTTTGAGTTTTACATTTACCTTCCTAGGACTTGCCCCTGTGGCTGTGTAGCTTAAATGATAAGCTGATGGTTGGGCAGTGGTTGTGATTAAACACTTCAGGTCAGTAAGTCGTCTCTCATCTCCTCGCGAATTTCTGTAATAGAGGAATGCATTTAAAGTTTACAGTTATCAATTGTGTCCCAGTTTTTGCTTTCTGCTGGGCTCTTTCACATTTCCTCTGTGCTCATGATTGTTCAGCCAAAGCAATCTCTGCTAGCTTTGTTCCTCTTCAGTCTCTATTGCACATACTCAGCCTTAGCCAAGAATATGCTTGCCCCAGTTGTGACCACGGCCTTGGGCTAATAGAAGTGTGTGGCTCTCCCTGCTTGCTGGCTTCTTAGATCTTCACTTCCACCGACACCATGATGGGCTTAGACATTACCTACCATTCAAACTCAAGTGAGCCCCCTTTGACCACAGCAGATACATTTCCAGTCCTGTGATCTTCCCCACCCTGGGAGGACCTCTGTGCTGTCTGAGCTGTGGTTGATGGTTATCAGAGTAGCTCCAGGCCAGAATGCCACAGGGACCTTGTGTTCTTACCTAAAGATTAGCAGTTTTTCAAATGTGAATGTTTCTCAATTTGTTATATTCTTTTGGTCAATTTCTAGAGCACCAAAATAGTTGTAGTTGTCAATTTTGTCTTGCTCCTTGGTTTCTTTTTTGGAAGAGTATTTGCTAATTGCCCTCGGCCATAGGTGGAAGTCCTGTTTCTGGTCTTGTATTATGTATACATTTTTTTTCTTTACTCTCTTAGGATGATGGGAAATTTACACATTCTATTAACTGATTTATCTATATTTTCTTTGGAGTAAATTTTTGTTTTACATTGATCTCAAATGTGAAAAAAAAAGATTTTTTTGAAATGCCCAGTGGTCCTTGGCTTTGCATTCATATTAGAAAAGAGAAAATAAAAAAGCTGCCTGGAAATTATATTTGGGTGGCACTGATTTGACTTGTATGCTTTGCTTTAGAGTGAATAGGTGGAACCATGAATATACTTGAAGTCAGAAGGGGCCAGAAAGAGGCCATCTTGTTTTGGGGGTACCTATATTTATGCTATGTTTTCTACTTTTCTAGACAATTTGTTTCCTCAAACACAATTCATTTCCTCTCATTTACTTTTTTTTTTTTTTTTTTTTTTTTTTACTCAGAGTAGATACAAAAAGAAAGTAGTTGCTTGTATACAAAGATAGGGGAGGGAGAATCAGGACAAATCTTCAAGTGATTGCATATTTTGCATATTTTAGCTTCACTCCTTACTCCACACTCTGCCAGGGATATTAGCTCATTCTTTTAATTGCAGTGCTCCCTGCACACATTCTATCATTTGGCTTTTCCTGCTCTGTTTCTCCTATGAATGTTCCTTCATCTGTCTTACATGTACAAATTTGTACAGAGGGCTTGCTCAGTCTCTTCACCATTATGGATTTACATCCTCTCCCCCCACCCCAACACACACCTTTATTATCTTTGTAAGAGGATTGCTAGAGGGAGATGGGGAAAAATACACACTCAGTGATCTTCTTAACCAAAAATTTTGTGCACATATTTTTAAACTACAGGCCCAGTACACAAAATTCATGCACTTGCGGGGAGTGGGGAGATGAGGGATCCCTCAGCACAGCCTGCACCCTCTTGTAGTCCAGGAGCCTTTGGGGGATGTCCGACTGATGGCTTAGGCCTGCTCCCTGTTCTCTTTGAGCCCGGCTTCTGGCTGAGCAGTGCTCCCCCTGTGGGAGTGCACTGACCACCAGGGGGAAACTCCTGCATTGAGTGAGATCAGGCCGAAACAGGCTCTCTGACATCCCCTGAGGGTTCCCGGATTGCGAAAGGGTGCAGACCAGGCCGAGGAACCCCACTGGTGCACGATCGAGGCTGGGGAGGAACGCAAGAGGTTGGCCAGCCAGGGAGGGACCACGGGAGGGCTCCGGGGCATGGCTGGCCCGTCTTGCTCAGTCCCAATCGGCCGGACCCCAGCAGCAAGCTAACCTACCAGTCAGAGCACCTGCCCCCTGGTGGTCAGTGCACATCATAGCGAGTGGTTGAGCGGCCTTAGCATATCATTAGCATATTACACTTTGATTGATTGAAAGGATGACCAGACGACCGGACACTTAGCATATTAGACTTTTATTATATAGGATGGTTGCAATGCTATCTGGATGCTGTTTTCACTTCTCCATTTTAGCATGTTCTACATTGCTGTACTTCATAATTATTGTTTGTAGTTGATTATGAACATACTTTAATGAAACAGTTTATTGAGTTTTTATTATTATTATAATGGTTATTATTTTTAGTTACTGCCTCCTGTTTCCTTACCCTTTCCTCCAGCCCACCATTATGTACATATACCTTTCCTCAGGTAACCAATGTTAACAACATTGACAGTTTGTGAAACAGTAAGTGCTACTATTTTCCTTTGGTCAAGCTGATTGAAAGCTATCAAGAAGGATAGTTCACCCTAGAGCAGGCTGACATTGTCATCAAGAAAGTAATCTGAGTTATTTGTGGGGTTTCCAAGAAATGCTGTGATTTCAGCTGTGGAGTTAGGTGATGTGTTGTATCTCGATAATGGCTTCCCTGTGTTGGCATCTCCACTTTAGTTCTTCAGTGGAAGTGAACCATATTCCTTGTAATAATTCATCTGTTTCCTTTTGTTCAGATTCATTTCCCCAAGTGGTCAAGTTGTCTGTGAGGGTTTTGTCTGTTTCTGATAAACTGGAAATCAGCCTGGGATAGTAGATGTTAGTAACATTGAAGCACTTGTTTGTCAGACACCAAAGAAAAGCCGAAAATTATATTTATCAAAAGGAACACTTGGGATCTTCTTCATATCAGTTTTCTAGTCAACCTAGGCCTAACCAAAAGAACAGTTTGGCTGATTATGGATAACAAAAAAGTCTTTTATATTAAAAAGTACATTTATTGCTAATTGCTTATTTTTTTCTTTTAGTAAAGCAAGATAAAGAAGTATAGATTTTTGAAATGAAAAAGTAAAACTCATCACTTGTACATAATGTAAAACTACAGAAAATAAAGAGTTTAATAAATATCCTGGATAAAAATATCAATATACAAAAATTATATGGATACACATATAAACAAAAATGAAAAAAGCTTTGTAAATAGATATTGTCTAAATTAACATTCAAAATATGAAGTGCCTAGGAATACATCTCTCATAACAAGAAATATGCAGAACTCCCTTGGAGAAAATAGAAAAGCACTACCATGTGACAATAAGACCTCAGTAAGTGGAATGATATGTACAATGCACATGACGGAAAACTAAACATTTTGCAGGTGCCTAATTTGATCAGTGCAATATCAACCAAATTTTTATCTGTTTTGATAGGGAAGGGAGAATACTTGATGAAAGACTCTAAAATTATATGGAAAGACAAAGGGCCAGTAGCTAAGAATAACAACAGTGTACATTGGTTCAGGGAAAGACAAGTAGTCTGGTGGAACCTTACTAGTGAAAGTGTATTCTGTGGACCCACCCACAGCATTGGTGGAGTTACCTGGGAGCTTGTTAGAAATATACAATCTCAAACCCCAACCCTAGATCAATGGAATCAGAATCTATTTTAACAAGATAACCAGAAGAGTGGAAAAAGATGGTTTTAATAAATTGTTATGGAGGAACTGGTAACTAAACAGGAAGAAAGTAATTGTATTGAAAGGCACTGCTTGTTTTATGTCCTGCAACCTTCCCTTACTCTCTGTGATCTACATTTTTTAGGGACATTTGAAAAATCAATGAAAATAAAAAGAATGTTTTGAATATGCATTTTCATAGGAGCCTCTGTTATCCATGTGCTTGTAAGCTGTGGATCACCTTGTTAATAAGGTTTTCTTAGGTGCTCCAACTTCAGCGTGTCTTTATGTATGTTCAGTATCTCTTGGATCTAGCTTGTATGTCATAACCTAATGATTGTACTGTCACTACCAATGTGCAGAACTAATGTTGTGACTATATCCCCTCCATTGTGGCAGTGACAAAGTGTTATCTAATTATTTTGTAGGTGTGTTTTGTATATTCTGGAAAAAACTCTGCTGAAGATCCTAAAGAAAGGGTAGTTCTTTTACCAACAAACCAGAAGGAAATAACTTTCCACCTACTTAGGATTGGAAGTCCAGCTCATTCGTAGCATCTTCTGAAACAAAATTAGGTAAGAAATGTTTTCATCATATTTCAAATAATTTGTGCCTCGCCCACTTCGTTTCCTTGAAGGCTTCTGTAATTCTATTCCTTTGGCCTCTAAGAGAGAATACAGCTCACATTTTCCTTTAGGAAGTTAGTGTGCCAGCCAGCTGTCAGCCTTATGATGCACCTGATCTCCCATGTCAGGGGAAGCACAATTCAATTTTAAACTAAGTCTGCGCAACAGTGCAGCAGGGCTGCCAGCATCTCCCTTTATGTCTCTTTCTTTGAAATTCTTCCTTCCACCTGAACAGTATGGCTTTATTTTTAAATCCTTTGTATGAGATGAAACCAACCACTAACTAACTTTGCTCGTCTTTAGTTAAAAACCAGAGAATTGAAAGAAATAATCTGTAACTATTTCTGCAACCCTTTCTCATTTCTAGAAAATAAAGTACCACTGCTTGTTTAACTTACGACTTGTCTAAACATGTTGAAAGCATTGACTATAAGGCATAACACTCAGACTCTGAAAGGGAACTGTGAAAAGTTCAGTCAAAAGGGAAATGAAGAATAATTTATAAAAGGCGCTACAGATAATGATGCCAGCCAGTTATTTTAAAATGCATCCATCTCACCTTGTAATGAATTAGATTTGTCAATAGCAAATGTTTCATGCACCACTTCTACGAAAAGTGGCGTGCTGGGGCTGCAGGGCTTTGAGGGTGGCTTCTTCAAAGCTTTACAAGTATCCTCGATTCAGAGACTTTTTTTAAAATAATATATATTAAAAAGTTTATTTAAATAATATTAAGGTTGTGACACAAACACCAAATGACAAAAATCAGGAGTTTCAAAGCAGAGGCTGACATGCCATCACTATTTCACACAGTAACTGTTTTTCAAATGAGGGGTGTACCAGGCTGATTTGGGGATTGTGTGTCAGTTTAACTTTAAATTTTCTTGTTATTTTGGTTGTTGTCACAACCTTAATGTCAGTTTTTCAAATAGGTTTCTACATTTCCTTTGGTTTTGAGGTCATTAAAAAATGCATATGGTAAATCTAACAGGCATAAATAGGTCACACGGAAGTGGAATTCCTTGCTTCTCGGGTGTTAAGAGACAGCTAATACCTGCCTTGTAAGTGGGGAAAGTTAGCTCAGACATTTCAGCGAATTTCTGTTTTTTAGGAATTCTATTCAGACTAATATAAACCCAAATAACAAGACATGATGTTGAGATCATTCTGTTCACATTCTAGTGTTCCTGCACCACTAATGCTAGCCATTTGATCTTGGTGGTTATCACCTCTGTAGATGTTAAAAACCACAATTGATACTTTTTTCACTAAAATTACAAGTTAAACTTGATAATTATTTCAATTGAAGAATTCTTTTTTTTTTAAATATATTTTATTGATTTTTTACAGAGAGGAAGGGAGAGAGATAGAGAGTTAGAAACATCGATGAGAGAGAAACATCGATCAGCTGCCTCCTGCACATCTCCTACTGGGGATGTGCCTGCAACCCAGGTACATGCCCTTGACCGGAATCGAACCTGGGACCTTTCAGTCCGCAGGCTGACGCTCTATCCACTGAGCCAAACCGGTTTCGGCTGAAGAATTCTTATTCAGTGTAGTTGAGTGTAGGTAAATACTGCCTTAAATTTTTTCATATGGCAGTCCTTTTTATAAAGCACTGTTATGCAGAGTTTTGAAAATAAAATCTTGCTTTCTAAAGTAACACTTGTTACTTGTGTTAAATTTTTTTCTAGTACCACACCAGACGTTAAAGGAGCAGCCAGGAGCATTCTGCAGGGAAAGACAGAAAGGGGAAAGAGGAGGGAGAGAATAATCTACTTACCCACATTCCTCTCTCTTTTTTTTATTCTTATGTTCAAAATGAGCTGCCAGGGCAGGTCTGCATTGCCTATGCTGAATCTACTTTTAATTTAGAATAAATATATTAGAATCTGTCCCACAGTTGTCTTTTTCAGCACCTGTGTTAGAGAAATAAAAGATGAAAAGAGAAGCACATTGTTTTTTTTGTTTGTTTTTTTTGTTTTTTTTTATTGCTTAAAGTATTACAAGGGGTATTACATATGTGTCCTTTTTTTTCTTCCCCACCCTTGACAATCCCCTGGCCCCCCTAACCCCCAGTGTCTTATGTCCATTGGTTAGCACATTGTTTATTGATCTTTTTCTGCTGACTCATAAAGATACTGACCAACCCAAAACACTTCCATAGCTATCATCTCCTCTTTGCTTGAACCACCAGATTTTATCCTTACTGGTTTTTTATCAATGACTGGGAAAACGTTAATCATTTTTTTCTAGTGTACTTCATTTCTTATCTCTTTATTATATATACTAGAGGCCCGGTGCACAAAAATTTGTGCATTTGGGGGGGGGGGGAAGGGGGGGTCCCCCAGCCCGGCCTGTGCCCTCTCGCAATCTGGGACGCCTCGGGAGATAACGACCTGCTGGCTTAGGCCTGCTCCAGGTGGCAGA